AATCAATCAATCAATCAATCAATCAATCAATCAATCAGGCAAGCAAACAAAAAAGGAAAAAAAAAGTATCCAATCGATTTGATTGGATCTTGATTTTGAAATCAAAATCCAAACGAATCGATCAAATCGATTGATGATCAGTATCCAAATCGATTTGTTATTTTTTTCTCGTTTTTTTTTTTGACTGATTGATAGACCGATAGACCGATTGATTGATTGATTGATTGATTGATTGATTGATTGATTGATTGATTGATTGATCGATTAATTGATTGTCTCGCACTATCCAATCGAATCAATCGATTTGATCGAGAACTTCATTTTTTTTTTTTTTTTTTTTTTTTAATCGATTGATCGATTGGTCGGTTGAAGAAAAAAAAAAAAAATTGTGTCCGCCATCTCGCCGAGATCTGCTCTTATTTGGTGTGTTTGGAGATGCCATGTCAACGTTGTCATTTGTGAGCTTCGATGTTACTCTTATTTTGTGTGTTTGGAGTTGCTCCGTAGTTGCTGCTGATTCAAACTGCTTGCCCGGAAGATTGGCGGGCGAGGCGCGGCGGTCTCTGTCGATGAACATGTCAACACCTCAGAGGAGGAGAGGGAGGAGGAGTAGGAGAGGAGGAGGAGTAGGAGAGGAGGAGGAGCAGGCAAGGAAGAGGAGCAGGCGAGGAGGAGGGAGGAGGTCGACGACGCGACCGTCTCTGTCGATGAACATGTCAACACCTCAGAGGAGGAGAGGGAGGAGTAGGAGAGGAGGAGGAGGAGGAGAGGAGGAGCAGGTGAGGAAGAGCAGCAGGCGAGGAGGAGGAGCAGGCGAGGAGGGAGGAGGTCGACAGGGAGGAGGAGGAAGCGAAAGGGGGGTTAGGGAAGGAGGGCGCCAACTGGGAGAAGGAAAGGGCCGAGGAGGAGGAGTAGTAGGACGAGGAAGAGGACGACAACTAGGAGGAAGACTAGAGGGAAAAGGAGGAGGAGGAGGAGGAGGAGGAAGAGCAGGAGGAAAAGACCAAGGTCGGCGAGGAAGAGGAGGAGGAATGCAAAGAGTAGGACGAGGAGGAAGATAACGAGGATGACGAGGGGGAGGAGGGCGAAGAAGAGGCGGAGGAGGACCAGAAGGAGAGGGAGGAGGAGGAGGACGGATGAGATGGACATAGATGAGGTGGCGGCAAAAGGGCGGTCAGACGAGGAGGGCGCCGAGTGATAGGAGCGGGGGGGCAGACAATCTTTTTTTTTTTTTTTTTTTTTTAATCAATCAATCAATCAATCAATCAGTCAGGAAAAAAGAACAAAAGTATCCAATCGATTCGATTGGATCTTGATTTTCAAATCAAGATCGGATTGAATCGACCGAATCGATTGATGGCCAATATCGAAATCGATTAGTTACTTTGTTTTCGTTTTTTTTTTTTATGGATGGATAGACCGATTGATTGATTGATTGATGAATTAATTGATTGATTGATTGATTGATTGATTGATTGATTGATTGATTGGCTCGAACAATCCAATCAAACCGATTGAATCGATCGGATCTTGAAATCAAAATCCAATAGAAGCAATCGATTCGATCGCGGAAAAAAAAAGAACGCCCGCCATCTCGCCAAGATCTGCTCTTATTTGGTGTGTTTGGAGACGACGCCGGTGCTGGCGAGGAAGACTAGGAGGTTTTCTTTTGTTTTTTTTTAATTAATCAATCAATCTATCAACCAAAGAAAAAAATGAAAAAAAAAGTATCCAATCGAAATCGATTCTATCGGATTTTGAAACCAAGATCCAATATCGGATTGAATTGATCGGATAGAAAATTTCAAATCAAGATCGGATTGAATCGATTGAATCGATTGATGGCCAATATCGGATTGAATTGATCGAATCGATTGATGACCAATATCGGATTGAATTGATCGAATCGATTGATTGGATCTGCCATTTGTATTCTGGGCGGTGAGCGCCAAGTGCGGGATTAGGACTTGGTTCAATGGTGATGATGCAAACACTATTTCTACGGTGTCATTTGTGAGCTCCAATGATACTCTTATTTGGTGTGTTCGACATTTTGGAAGCCAGGGGGGAGAATCGCGATTCTCCCCCCCACCTTTTTGTCCAGAGAGAACCGTATAACACGTTCATTGGCACTTCGCTCAGTGACACGTTTCATAGTCCCTTGTTTGCCGATGTGAAAGGCGGAGCTTTTACGAAGGTGAAGCGTCGACGAAGGCTGCTGCATAACGCCACCCCTGTTGTGTAGCTGCATTGCCGAGAAGCCAACGTTGTGACATATCCGTTTTAGGGCATCACCACGACAGTTCAACGCAACCAGCCAGCACCACATCGGGACTGAGGTCGGCGTCCCGTACGTGGAGATGGCATCCAAAGGTATGGTACGCAGTCCCTTATTTTTGTCTGTGTGTTGTGTTTTTCATTTGTTTGTTTTTTACTCCGAAGGTGCGGCGCCTCGATGATGGTAGACCCTCCGATGACCCGGCGCCTCGACGACGCCAGACCCTCCGATGGTCCGACGCCGGACCATCCGATGGTCTGGTGTCGTCGAGGCGCCGGACCCTCCGATGGTCTGGCGTCGTCGAGGCGCCGGACCCTCCGACGCCAAACGGCGCCGGACCCTCCGACGGTCTGGCGTCGTCGAGGCTCAACCCTCCGATGTTCTGGTGCCTCGACGACGTCGGACCATCGCAGGGTCCGGCGCCTCAACGACACCAGACCATCGGAGGGTCCGACGCCGAACCATTCGATGGTCTGGCGCCTCGACGACGCCGGTCCCTCCGATGGTCTGGCGCTTTGACAACACCAGACCATCGGAGGGTCCGACGCCTCCACGACGCCAGACCATCGGAGGGTTCGGCGTCGGACCCTTCGATGGCCCGGTGTCGTCGAAGCGCTGGACCATCCAATGGTCCGGTGTTGTCAAGGCGCCAGACCATAGGAGGGTCCGGCGTTGTCGAGGCGCCAGACAATCCGAGTGCCCGGCGTCATCAAGGCGCCGGACCCCCCTATGGTCCGACGTCATCGAGGCGCCGGACCATCGGCGTGGCCGGCGCTTTGATGACCCTGGACCATCGAGGCGTCCTTCACAACAGCTATTGTTGTTGTTCTTCCAGTTGCTGATGCTGCTCGTCTAACGCCGAACCATTCGATGGTGTGGCGTCTCGACGACGCCGGACCCTCTGATGGTCTGGCGTCGTCGACGACGCCGGGCACTCCGACGGTCTGGCACCTCGACGACGCCAGACCATTGGAGGGTTCGGCGTCGTCGAGGCGCCGGACCATCCAATGGTATGGTGTCGTCAAGGTGCCAGACCATCGGAGGGTCCGGCATTTTCGAGGCGCCGGACCATCCGAGGGCCTGGCGTCGTCGACGCGCCAGACCCCCCTATGGTGTGGCGCGGTGCCTTGACGACGTCGAGCCATCGGAAGGTCCAGCGTTGTCGAGGCGCCGGACCATCGAGGCGTTCTTCACAACAACTACTGTTGTTGTTCTTGCGGCTGCTGATGCTGCTCGTCCCACTATTGTTGTAGCTGCTGCAGTTGGAATTGTTGCAGTTGCAGCAACTGCTGCTGCTCCTAGTGGGGCCCCTCTCTTCCCCGGGTGCGGCTGTTGCTATTGCTGCTCCTACTGAGGTACAAATGTTGTTGTTGTGGTTGCTGGTGGTGCAGCTGGTGCTGTTGTTGGTTCAGTTGCTGTTGTGTCGAGGCGCTGGGCCCTTCGATGGTCCAGCGTCGTTAAGGCGCTAGACCATCGGATGGTCCGGCGGTTGCAGCAGCTGCTGCTGCTCCTAGAGGGTCCGGCGTCGTCAAGGCGCCAGACCATCGGAGGGTCCGGCCTCGTAGACGAGCTAGACCATCGGAGTGCCCGACGTCCTCGGCGTCGTCGAGGCGCCGGACCATTGAGGCGTCCTTCACAACAACTATTGTTGTTGTTCTTGCAGCTGCTGATGCTGCTCGTCCATTATTGTTGTAGCTGTTGCGCTTGCTGCAGCTGCTGCTGCTCCTAGTGGGGCCCCTCCGTTCCCCAGGTGCGGCTGCTGCTGTTGCTGCTCCTAGTGAGGTGCAGATGTTGTTGTTGTGGTTGCTGGTCGTGCAACTGCTGCTGTTGTTGGTTTAGTTGATGCTGTTCGAAACCGCTGCTGTTGTTGGTTCAGTTGATGCTGTTCGAAACCGCTGCTGCTGTATCACCTGTTGTTGTTTTTGTATCGCCTGTTGTTGCAATAGCAGCTACGTCTGTTGCAACGGCTGTTGCTGCTGCAGCTGCACCCATTGCAGTTTTAACACCTGCTGTTTTAGCTCCTCTTATAGCAGTTGCCACTCCTGTTCCCCCGGTGGTCCACTTGGTCTTCTGTTCTCCTCCGGTCTTTCGTCCAAGGAGGAGGGAAAGGGGGGAGGCACAGATGGCGGATGGGGTTGAGGTGGGCTGTCATCAGTTGGGCTAGTCACTTCCTTTATAGCCCTTCGTTCTCTTACCTGCCCCTCTGCCTCCTATGGTCCCGCACCTCGCCGACTAAACCAGCATCCGATGGTTGTGCCATCGAATAGTCTCGCGCCTCGACGACGCCGGACCATCTGATTTTCGAATTTCCAGTGCCCGTGCTGAGGACTGACCATCGCTTTCCCGTTAAGGGAAACGGGAGGTTGGCGTGGTTACATACGTGCCCTTAGCACTGGGCATGGCGCGATGGGAACGGTCCTTTCCCGTTACGATGGTAGGGATGCCGCAGTGGAGGCAAGTGCTTTCCTGTTTACCTGTTGCCATTGTGAACGTTCGTTAGTGGAGGCAAGTGCTTTGTGTAATGGCCGACAAGGCACCAGCCAGTCCGAACGTTGGTTAGATGTTCCCGTACTGCTGAAGGTCGGCAGCTTGCTGTTGTCACCGGTTCAGGAGGCCTTCCACCGCCCCTTCTTCTTAACGTGTGTTTGTTCCGTGTGTTACGCTGGTGTCGGATGCGGTGTTATGCAGTTGCTTGCTCGTCAGGGGTCTCTACGCCGAAGGTTGTCGGAAGGGCGGTCACGTTCCAAGAGAAGTATTGGGCAATCGATTGGCACCTCGGTATGGTCCCATGTTGTGGGCCAGTAATGTTTTTGCGGGATGAGAGTGGCGGTTACTACTCATGCGTGGGTATCAAGACTTACTCGTTTGATAAGAACATGCCTGATGAGGAGTACATGAAAGTCCATCTCACGACGTGTTTCGACATTGACGGTCACGAGGTGCCTGGCAACTACAAGCTCGTGTCTCTCCACATCGAGAAGTTCCAAGGTTATGGCATCCGCGCCGCATCAATGCCACCATTCGACAAGTCGACGAAGAAGGATGCGTCGCAGATGGTGATGCTAAGGCCGTTCGAGTTCCTCAAACGCGTTAATTGCCATAAGGTGTCGAACCGTATCGTGACGATTGACAACAAGCCGCAGTTGTCAACTCCCTTCGTGTCGTTCGACTGTGTCAACTCCCTTCGTGTCACAAGCTGCAGGCAATGGGCCAACCCGTTTTGTGGACTACCGTCTCTGTGAGCTCGCCAAAGGCGGTAGGCAAGAGTTATGGGGAGCCGAAAACATCTGGCCGAATGAGCAAAAGCGGGGCCGCATCGACACAGGCAAAGAGCGTGAGCAAATCAGCTTCTCTACTCCAGCCGAAGGGTGTATCTGCAACGAGGTGTCGGAGCTGATACCCTTACAAGGGTATCCGCTCATGTTTTTATGGTCGGTGCAATGTCAGCACCAACAGACAGGCTGAAGACGGCTAAAAACGAGAAATGAGGCAAATCCCTCAACTGTTACGATCGAGGAAGTTTTGCCTGCGCAAGCGCCCAAACACGGCGCTCACAGACTAGAGTCGATGGTCAAATTTTTTTGAATGCTCGCCTGCCTTGTCATGGCAAACGCCGAGGAGGTAAAGATTAGGGGGATTAAAATTTTGAATGACCACACGCGAAGGGTTAGTAAATTAAACCACCGACCACAGAGGCCGAAAGGTTAGTCTAGCAAAGAGGGAGTCGCGCGAGAGGCGACGACGGCACACCGAGTTAGTAGGTTCCGGCTAAAGCGACGAGATACGTTAGTAATGAGTATGCCTTATGGCCAGGGCAACTGATAAGGTAGCCAGACTGCCGTAGTGGGGTACGGCAGTTACAAAAATCTGTGTCTTCCTCTATGAGGGGCTAAGGGCACTGCATCAGCCAGAAAGGGGAGGGCCGTATTACAATTATACTGAAAAAGCTCCTTATATAACCGTACTAGGAGCTAGCCCAGTAGGTACGACCATAGATTGACAAGCCAAAAACGCATGGATTGAATCCGCCCGACCTGTGGCTAACTCCTCTTTTGCCGAAAATCGGCACTAGGGCCACCCGTGAATTTTTGTTCACCCGCCCTCGGATGAGCAGGGCTCGAACCAGCGACTTTAGAAGTAGAAGTATACGAAGTTAGTTAGTAATTTAGGCCACTTGCTGCACGCGATGGGAGCCTAATACTTGGTCTACTCCGGAGGTTAGTAGTTAGATTATTTTTTTATTATTATTTTTCCTTATCTTTTCTTTCTCTTTTATGTTTTTTCTTTTATTTCATTATTTGTTAGATTCGTTTTGACAGTACTCCGTTGATGATAAAGGCTCACGTGAATCTACCCTGGACGAGAGGGCAGATTCGTTAACTACCCACGAAAGTGGGACGGTGATACTCGTAGACTGAGTGCCTCGTCGGGGTCTCGGTTCCTCGAGGATATCGAGCGAAGGGAAGATCCCCGCGAGGTAGATGAAAGAGGCAAGTGCGCGAGAACGAATGTGCAAGCAAGAGATGCGCATGGGCGTGCGAGTGAACGAGCATGTGAGCAAACAAAAAGTGCATACTAACGTAAGAACGTGTGAGCAAGGCAAGCAGAGCGACGTGTGAACGAGCGAAGGTGCGAGCGAGAGCGAGCGTGAAGGAGGAGCGTGCGTGCGAGCGAGAGAAAAGGCACGAGAGAGAGGGGATAGGAAGTAGAAGAAGAAGAGGAGGGAAGGAGAAAAAAGGAGAAAGGAGGAGAGGGGGGAGTAGAGAAGGGCACCTACCTGACCGCACGGTCGGACAACGACGAGGTAACGGTGTGACGACGACGACGACTCGACGACGACGGTGACAGCGACGGGGAGCGGGAGAAAGAACGAGTAAGTCTCGTTTCCTCGTTACCAATCCCAGTGTTTCCATCGATAGGATGTGCAAATAAATAAATAAATAAATAAATAAATAAATAAATAAACAAATAAATAAATAAATAAGTAAATAAATAAACATGTAGAAATCGAATGAATATATCCCTGCAACGTGGGAATATACACTACCACATTTGTACTACGTACGTGTGTGTGTGTATGAAAAGAGAGAGAGAGTTCTTCTTCTTCCTCTTCTAAGTCCTCCATCTCTTCTTCACCCTCTCCCGATCTGACTTCTCAGTATCTCTGGACTACAGGAGAGAAAGGGAGAGAGTGGGGATAATCAAGGTTTGAATAGGGATGACGAGTTACGTACCTGGTACATGAAGAGAGGTCGCCGATGGTGTGGACGGTCATATACATTGGTCTTCGTGAGCCGAAGTGATCCTGCTGTGTGAGCCACCTGAAGTATAGGATAGTATGGTAGAGTAGGCTGGGCGTTGTGTGCAAACAGAGAGAGCGACTCTGGATACTGTGGTGGTGTGGCCTACAGGGCTTGGACATTGGCTCAATACTTCATTGTATTGCTCTTTATGGATGGTTTTGTCGGTGCATTTGTACTCTCTGCTTGGACAAGACTACTTGGACATTTGTGTGATTTCGCAATTTGATTTTCTGTTTATCGTACACACTCGTACTCTTTATTATTATTATTATTATTATGATTATTATGATTATTATTATTATTATTATTATTATTATTATTATATTTTATTATTATTATTATTATATTTTATATTATTATTATTATTATTATTATTATTATTATTATTATCATTATTATTTTTGTTAGTATCTTGACCTTAGTCATAAATACGACTAAGTACAGTCGAGGAACCAAGGAGGAGAAACCGGGGGTGTAGGTGTGTGAAGAAGGGACATAGAGTGAGTAGGCGAATGCACCCACACAGAGGGTGGAGGGAGAGAGAGACCGGGGCAAGGGGGATTGACTTGCCCGATTAAATGGAACCTGGCCGACATCATGGCCAGGTACGGTGCAGAAGAAGGGAGAAAGAGAACAGGAAGGCGCACAAGAGGGAATATGGAGAAACGAGAGCAGGAGGGCAGCGAGGAGGAGAAACGAAGATGGGGAGTAGAGAGAGAAGGCGCGCAAGAGGGAGGGTGGAGAACAAGAGACGGGAAAGGCAGGCGAGTAGGAGTGCAACGCGGGGGATGCAGGTGTGTGGCATAGCGAGGGAAAGAACCAGCGCGGGAAGGCGACGGCAAGGTAGCAGTGCGCAAGGAGCGAAGAAGAATGAGATGAAGTAGGAGGAAGGGAGGAAGAGGAAGCAGAGAGGAAAGATCGTACGCAGTAGTGCGAGGAGAAGGAGGAGGAAAGAGAAGATGAAGGGGAGAGAGAGAGAGAGAGAGAGAGAGAGAGAGA